CTCGTGGTCATAATGGTTTTATCATTTCCACATCCACAGGTATGCAACAGTCCTACTGGCTTTGAGTGAACTTATTTTTATCATCAGACAGTGAGTGTGAGGCTCGGCACAGACATCCACTGCTACACTACGCTACAATGCACCAACTACACGTGCACCTTTCGGGCAGACTTCGAGAGGACTTTGAATAAAACTGCCTGAATCTTCAACAGAGCAGAGTCCCCATTTAATACAGTCATCTTAGAGCCACAGCTCTGGCTATGATCACTGAAGCCCCAAAAACCTATTGTTCTGAACTCAGGTGTGCAAGAGGCAGCCAATCAGGAAAAAAAGAAAAAGAAGAGTTGGATTAAAGACAGATTAAAGTTGGATTAAAGACAACATGCTGAAGAAAATTTCTATACATATATAGAGGGAAATGTTAGGATAATAGGTCCTCTTTAAAACCTAATGTGGTACCTTTAGTGGTTACTTGAAGTTAAAAAGGTTTTGATGACCCTCTACTGAACCATGTTCTGACTACACTTTCTGTCCCTAAGCGCATTTCATTGCTGAGTGCACACACATGCACTCTCACACTCAGGTGCACAAACACTGTTAAAGGTGTTTGAGCATCAGTGAGAGATACACTTGGAATCTCCGTCTCTCTTTCTTTTCTGTTGTGAGCGCATAAAGTACAAACACACACTGATACATACACCTACCTTGGCAGGCTGGGGTGTGGAGAAGTTAAGCCAGGCAGGGACAAAGTCATGCTGCGCCATTTAGGTCCAGTGTTTCCGGTCAGTGGATCGAGGCATCAAACCTCATGGCCAGGATCTACCAAAAGATTTTTTTTTAATTCAGTGTGCAACTGAAAGCACAGAAACACGACTCTCTGATGTAGAATTAAATCCCATTTTTCTTTGATTGCATGTCATCCCTTTAATGTGTTTAGCATCAGTTATCTTAAGTTAACTGCTTAAAGTTTTTCCAAAAGATAAGCCAAGGAGTCTTATTCTCAGCTGAAAACATGGATGTAAACATCTTGTGCAGAATAATACAGATATTATATTAAATATATAAGTGCTTGGCATGTTTTAATTAAAATAAAACAAACACACTACGCTAGTTAACATCACGCTCATGCATGTTTGTCTTCATCGGCTGGGTGAAACATTGACATTACCCCAGAGTCTGTGGCTCTGAAGTCCTCTGCCTCCTCTCTCGGTCCGGCTGTGCTCGGTTCCTCCTCAGGCCTGTTGGCACTGATCAGAGTGTGTGCACTGACAGATGGGAGGCAGCACACCAACAACCTCCTCTCCACCTCCGCCAGGACAGCGCAGCCCCTTTCCCCAGAGGCAGATCCCTTCGTCCAGGGTGAAGCACTTGGAGATATGTCAAAAAACTGCAGGAACGATCTGGAATGGCAATCCAGAGAACTGGCCAAACAGGAAGCAGTTTTTGAAGCCCAAAGATAGGAGTCTATGCAGAACAGATTTTCTGTCTTGAACCAGAATCCAGTCAGTTCTAATGCCGGCCTTGTGCAATGAATTCAACTGATTCAAGTCCAGGACACTTTTTTCTTCTTTTTTCTCCAGATAGATTGAATCCCTCAATTTATTTGAACCATTTGCTCATAATCTCATGGTAAGACTTAAAACCTGATTAGACTTGATGCTGATTGGCAAAACAAATTGATTGACTAGTGATTTGTCCCAAATGGGAGGAAGAGCCAGGTTATTATTAATATAAAGAAACAGTCTGTGAAAGTCGTCTGCACTGAAGCATGGACAACGGTTTTTGAAGCAGTTCCACTTTGACACCAAGTGCGTGGAGAGAGACAGGTGTTGTCCTGCCACACTGTGTGCCAGTATGTTTTTTGTGTTGACTCGCCTTTTACCGAATCATTTTAAGACCTACTCAAACACATTCAGAAAAGAAAAATTAATTGAGAGACAGTCTTTTATTGGCAATGGAGGTCACTGCAAACCACTGCTCACCTCATTAAAGTGGTGAAAAGACTGTCTTCGTTTGGAGAAAATAACTCTCAAAGGTTCAAAGTCACATGACAATGAAGCCAGTGAAGCCCTACGTTACATTGCCGACATAATAAGTTCTCGTTAGTGAAACGGTGAAGATGTTGAATGGTACATCATAATGCTGTTTCTAGCATTATATATTTTACTCCCATCAAATTATTTCAGGTTTTGACTGTAGCAGGAACAGTGTGGACCTCTGGTTTCATAGATATGCAAAATCAAAATTCAAAAGTTGAGATGGCTTTAGCAACAGCCAAACATGTCCAAAAAGAAATCCTCAAGTGATCAACTACTCTTTTTCCTCAGGAGAAAAAAGTGAAAGTTGAAAAGCCGCAAGCATCCAAAAAATTGTCGAGTAGGTCTTTCCTTTCCTTCTTGAAAGTGCTTTTCCCCCCTCACACAGGAAGTTTCAGTGCGGTTTTCAGGTTTTCTTGCTTTATGGTTCACAGGTATTTGCACAGGATCTGCAATAAATTTTAAAAGAAAGAAAAAAAAGAGGTTCGCCTTAAAGCTCTGGGGGTCAAAAACACACAAAATACTTAAGAGTTACTTGCCAAATTAACTACACCTTTCACAAAGTGGACCTGGCATGCTTTTCATTGCTACAATAGCAGATATTCATATTAAACTTGGCAAACATTTCAAATAATGAGATCAGGCTTATCATGCTTTCATAGACGGGTTTTATCCCATAACAAGGCCATCTCAGGCACACAGCCACACAGTTCTTCTGGCTGTCAGGACAAAAGCCTCATCCATCTGCTGTTCAAACCCTTTGTTTGCAAGGGGAAGAAAATCAGAGATACGCCGGTTTAAATGAAGGTGATATTAAAAGAGAGAGCAGTTTCACACAAAGGATGACCCGAGGGTTTCACCGAGGCTCAGTGTAAGTCATACAAGTTTTATTTTGATTGTGAATCATGCAAAGCATCTTTGGAAGAGTCCAGGAATAAAAAATTTGGATGTGGAAACAAACAGTAATAGGTCCAAATTACCTAACAATACAGCTCAATATAAGAACCCAGCAGTACATATAACTTTATGAACTTTTGTTCAGCTTGTGTTCAAACAGTTTTTTTTAAACGGTGCACTGTAGAAGTTTATTATTTCAGATGCTAAAATTTTAACTGTAAAACTGGGGTGATCAAATCATTAGAAAACACAGAGCAATAGGTCAATGGTGCTGCAAAGTACTACGCCCAAAATAACTATAAGATTGTTTTTCTTCTAAAGCTGCTGCATTAATAAACTTCCCAGACAGATTAGTTAAACGTAAACGATATTGTATGTCTAGAGCTGCATTACTGCAAACAGCTTCAGTTTGTGTCAGCCCTTATCACACTATGAAAAACATTCCGCCCTCACTGATAAACTCCCAAATAACTTCCAATTCAAGAGAAATCAGCTCCAGAAAAAAATGACGCTTCTGACACTCAAAGACATCTTGAGAGATGCAAGAGAGGAGAAAAAAAATCAATCAGGACTCTGTGATCTCAGATCCCTTTCAGGCTGAAAGCTGGCTCTTTTAAAAACAGTGTCGGCTTTTTTTAAGTGAAATATTTATACCAGTATAAAAATAACATGCACGCTATCTTCCTGTGCGCAGACTGCTGCGAATCTTAATGGGCCCAATAGTGTCTGTAAACACGGCACAAAACTGAGGTGACAATCCCAAACACCCTGTTCATACATGCACGAAGGAATGGCTCAAAACCCAAACAACAAACAAAAACCCCATAATATATATACACCCTTGTTTCACTGATTCGGGCTTGATAGCGCGCTCCCACTAAACTATTACGTAACAGTTCAACATCAATGAATTTACCACAGGCACGAGGTACAATGTGCAGCGCACATACTTCCTTCACTGTGAAACAACACTCCAATGAATGGCGGTGGCAAAAACACCTCTACCTTTGGAAAACACCCTGCATAACGTTCACATGCGCTCAACTCACATGTACACAAACACACAAACAGCAGACCCACTTAACACAGCATACACACACTTCAACTAAATGACTAGCTAAATGTTATGAAGTAAAAAGTAAGTTCATCTAAATAATTAAAGACGCTAAGCGGCCAACAAGTACCACACACAACAGCGCTGTCAGATCTGTCCTAACTCCACTGCTAGCTGACTCTGCCGAGATAACTCAGGTTAACGTTAGCATAGGAATTGTTAGCTAATAGCTAGCGCTATCTAGCCTGTTGGGAAGCCCGAGAAAATTGGTTGGTATTTGAAAGGAATTAGCAAGACTAGAAGGCTTAATCCAGTAAACACGGATTTAATACGCCTGCGGTAACCAGAACTGTCTATTTAAGCAGTTGTCACGGACATACAATAGAGGTAAACAGACCTTGCTTCGTTGGAACAACACAGTTTCAAAATGGCTACCTTAGCAGCGGCAGCACACATTCATTAGCTTGCTAAGTGCTAGCGAGCTAACTTACAGTCTTTCCTACGATACCTTCCAATAAACAGGATAGTCGTAGATATAGGTTGATTCAAATATACACTCACTCTGCAGAGACCAGTGACACTGCACTTTTTTTGCAAATATAAACTGCTTTAATCGCAGGACTATCGATGTTTGTTTGGGTTTTCGGTGCTCTTACCACTGGCGCTGGCACAGGGGGATTCGAACAGCCTCAACTGTGCTCCATTCACGATCTGTCGTGATTATGCAACTCACTGGGAGTCTAACGAGTTTTTCATCTCAGCAGGCTAAACAGTGTGGCTTCGATGTAATTGTTATAAACTCCGATAAATAAAATATACAAATGTCTAAAGATGAAACACTATGTTTCTTTGTTATTTTTTTTAATATTCAAAGAAAACGGCGATAATAGTAAACAATGTGGGATTTTGCAACCTTGAACGCAACATAATACCTCCCCGCCAAGGACAGCCAATCCAGTCGATATCAGAGTCAGTCTGGTTCCGCTAAAAAATATTAAGAGACAGGCATTTAATCGAGCGCCGATAGCCTGACGGCAAGCAAACGACCTCTACTTTAGCATATGAAATATTAACTTTCTCACAATTTGTTATATGTTTTTGTGTTTTCGGTGGCCACGGAAAACCGTTCTATGCCTAACATTTATAGGATAACGTTTAGGTAACTGTAAATCCTGTGGTTTATAGGTTGTTACATTAGCACAGCCTTGTATTACATCAGGTTGAGGTTAATGCTAGCTGCACCAGCGTTAGCTCAGGGTGTTTCGTCACTGAAACTTCAGATTGCATGTGCTGTGTAAGTGTGATTCTTTTTCCACGCTGAATATGATTAGCTTCGTCTCTGGAAGACGTATTTTGTCTGGGGTAAGAATAGTAAAAGTTTTCATTTGATAAATATGCCTACTAACGAATGCAATAATTCTCTAGGTGCCAGCAGAATATTAATGATGTTCTGTGATTGTGCATGGTTTCAGGTTCCAGTATGGAGATGTCTTCAGCAAATAAACAGGTTACCAAACTACAGCACAAAAACTGTGCTGCTTCACACTCGAGCCTCCTCTGTCTTTATGTCATTCAGACCATCTACCACCAGCAGACTGTTGAACATCAAACCTGTGAGCTGGCACACATCACATCTCTGCCATGAGGATTCCAGAGGCAAATCAGAGAGAAGTGACAGCAAAGAGGGTTTCAGTTTAAGAGCCCTCGCCAAGGCTCCCAAACCAGCTCTGTACCTGGGATTTTCTGGTCTCATCCCCTTTATCTCTGCCCCTTTTCTCATGGCTGCCACACAATCTTTCCACCCTGAAGTGGCATATGCTCAAGTGGTGTACGGAGCTTCTATAGTGTCGTTCCTGGGAGGTGCCCGTTGGGGGTTTGCCATCCCAGCTGGTAGTCCCGCACAGCCAGACTGGATGAATTTGGGTAACAGTGTGGTGCCGTCGCTTCTGGCCTGGCTGGCGTTGCTCTGCAGGGACAACATAGCTGAAGGAGCTCTAGTTGTTGTAATGGGACTGGGCCTGTCACTGCATTACGACCTGACTCTTCTGCCTGGCTACCCTGCCTGGTTCAAAGCCATGCGAACTGTTCTCACTCTGGTTGCCACCTTTTCTCTGGTGGCCATGTTGGTGCTTAAAAAGCTCTGTCCAGAGAAGAAGTTCATAGAGACTTAGAAGTGATTTTAAGAGGATAGTTTGTCTCTTTAACTGCATGAACATAAGAATGGAAAACATCAGGTGAACATCTGCAGACAGTCGTTGTGGTGCTACAGTTGAATGAGCCAATTTTGCTCTTATGTAAATAATACATAATAATTTGAAAATAAATAGCAGTTGTTTCCTGGGTTGCACAATATCTGGTGAAATTCCCATCTCATGAGGAGTGAGTTAAATACCTAAATATAGCAAAGAACAAACAGTGGGCTTAAGAATTCCTTTAACACATGCAGAATCATGCTCTTTGCTGCGCTAAACACAGGGGAAAAATACTCTTCTGGAACACGTGTTTAAACAGATTATTTAAACATCTCTTTTTTTATGTGAAAAGTTGAGATAATAAAAATCGAGCTTCAGGCAGCTTTTAGTCAAAACAGCTGTAGAAATTCGTGTGCTTTTGTTTATAGAAGTTCTAACCTGCTGCCTCGGCTGTGTTAAATATGAATTATTTATCGGATTGTTGTTCATTTTAGCTGCTTCTCACCGGTCAGTCACATAAAGGTGTTCATTCTTGTTGCATCACAAACTTTAAGGTCACCAGCTACGTTATTAGGTACACCTGTTCTTTAATGTAGATATATAATTAGCCAATCACATGGCAGCAATTAATTTAGGCCCGTGAAGTTCAAACTGAGCATCAGAATGGGGAAGAAAGGTGAGCGTAGCATGGTTGTTAGTGCCAGACGGACTGATATGAGTAACCGCCGAGGTATCGAGATTTGTGTCTCTGAACGCACAGCATGTCAAACATTGAAGCAGATGCGTTACAAGAGAAGAAGACCACACCGGGTGGCACTCCTGTCAGCTGAAAACAGGAAACTGAAGTTCACATTTAGGTAGAAATGGCTGTCCATTAAACAGACACACTGGAGTTTTTATAGCAGAGTTGGAAGTAAGTGATCCCACATTTACAGTCTCGGTGTTTTGTAAACATCGGCTCCAAATAGATGAGCCACAATCCCAGTGAGACGTCCAGTGTAATTACAGCAAGTGTGACTGCTGTAGTTCGCTTGTTTGCACAATACAGAAGAAAACTTTCCTGCTTCAAACAGCTTTACATCCGTGCAACGAATCTAATAGTACTAACATGATCGTTCACAAATGAACCCAACACACCTACGTACCATCACCTAGGATATCGGGGAGTAATGTCCTCCTGCATGCTGGTGTTTGCACAGAGCTATCAGAGGGGATTATTACATTTTAACTACACTGAAAAAAAGGGAATAAGGTTAAAATGAAATAAAGTATACACATAACTGTGTTGCGATGTTTATTAAGTCTGAAAAGCAGCATTATCAGTGTGGTGTAGTATTGTGTTTTTGCAAAGGTTTAACTGTGCATGATAGAAAGAAGCGGTGCTGTGGCACCGCTTCAGTCAGCTTGAAAACAAGAGGAAATGTGATGCCGTACCGTAAAGATGCTGAACATATTTCTAAGCGATAGGCTGCACACCTCAACATCAGATAGTACAAATCTGAAATGATAAAGCAGTCTTTACTTGCTCGGAATGAAGTGTAAACAGCGATGGAGAGGCACTAGTAGAAACATATGTACATAAATAATCCAGTGGAATGAAAAGGAGCGCTCTGGCATGCTGTTCGAGTCCACAGAAATTTTGAAACTTAATGCAGCCATAGGTTTTATGTGGTTCTACTGTCAACTAGGCTCAAGGGATCGGAGTGGTAATGCACCGCCCTCCAAAAATTCTTTAAAAGAAACTAAACAGTGCTTCATCACCCGCCAGCAGTTTTCTTAGTGCCCCACGGGACTTTCAAAAAACCTTCTGTGGTTCATCAAAAATAGAACTTCTATAAAAAATAATCCTCAACACCAAGATAGCTGTGCCTTCAAATATATT